CAAAATCAACCACCTTGAAAATAAAATATAAACATGTGCTTTGATGATCTGTCCAAATCTGTGTAAGCCCAGGTAACTTCCTAGGCTTCAGAAGTACATCATCCCATCCTTGCTGACTCACCTGGCTTCAAATGCAGCCCGTTTGAACCACAAGAATTTGAATGGCTGTCTTGTACAGAGAGCATCACTGGTGTCATTAGTCTGAATGGTACTCAAACCCCTCTCCTAGTCAGGAAAAACACAGGCACTTGTCCAGTTACATTCCCTGACTGGTGAGGTCCCCAGTACTCGTCTTACAGCTGGACTGACTAGACAAGTAAGGAAATGCATAAAATAGGCCAGTGTTTCTTCATTACTTGATCATATGAGTCTCTTCATCAGCATCATAAAACTCCTCATCTTCACTTCCACTCCCTGCAGAACTGTCTTTGTCTCCAGACTAGAAACAAAAATGAAATAATCTGTTAGTGAAGAAGCCACTGAATCAATTTCAAAATACATAAACATGAACCGCTACACCTCTGATGGAATGCTGGTAGAGAAAACAGTAAGAAAAGGCAGGTCAGATCACTTTGTTAAAGCTTTGTGAAAGACATTATGTGAACTGAGGTTTCTTTGTGTCCTTGGTTCTTCAAAATCTCTTTAAAAAGAGATAGGCTTCTAGTGGATGGACTTTCTTTGCTCCACCAGTACACTAGAGAATACATTCAGGAGAGAGACTGGCCAGAATAGTTCTGAAGTGGTAATCTATTCAGCTTTCTTAATTTAAGTCTAAGGTCCCTACTCTGTGGTGAGCTACTGGAAACAGAGGCTCAGAACACACAGATTACTTGATTAGGTAAAAGCTTCCCCATCCTGAATTATTACTTCTCCATGTGTGGTGTGGGCATTTTCCTATGCAAGTTTAATTAAAAAGATCCCCCTTGCAACCCTAACTAAAGGTGTTACGGAAAAGGGAAAAAATAATACCACTTCATATGTTCAGAAAGTAAACTCCCTATCTTAGTCATATCTACTCCACCCAGAGTCCTTTTAACAACAATTTATATCATATACGCAAACTAAAGTCAGCTATTACAGCTAATTGGTTTTTATTTGGACAGTGTAGCGTTTTTCCACGGAACTGATGCAAATTATTCCAGTTAAAAAGAGTCTCTTGCTAGTATAAACTCAATCTAGCTTGAATATTTAGGATTTTTTTCCCAGTATGCTTGCATCCACCCCAAGACTTCTGCCTGCCTAGTCATATGTGAAGAAGGGTGAGAGAGAGGGTGAAAAATAGAGAAATGGAAATCATATTCCTGACTGACAGTACCATGCAAGCAAAATCTGTAGCTTTAGATCTGTCTTCAGAGGAGTTTTGCTACAGCAATGTGAGTTAACTGCAAAGGAATTTCAAACAGTTTGAGCACTAAGACCTGTCAGAAGATATAAAGGGAATCATGTTATGCTTTTTTCTGGATTTCTAAAATTATTTGAGGAAAGTCAGGCTATCACTGGATGCTGTCCAACTTGAATATCACAGTCATTTATGTTAATAGGGACAAAACCTCCATTCTGGGCAACCAGAACACATTATTTTGAAAGTGGTACAAAGGACAATGGATTCCGCAGGGGGAATTCAGTGTATGCCAAATAAATTCTACACCTTTCTTACAGCAGCTTTGTAAGACCTCTCCATGGCCTTGTCGAATAGGGTTAATGTTTAACAGCCTTCCATTTTATCAGCACTTTCTTTGTGAGCTTTAAAATAAACCCCTAATGTGTCACAGTCATTCCAGATACAACTTCACTGAAGTTACAGGTTTACTTCAGCCCTGAACCAATGACTTTTTCATTTGGATTCAATAATTTTTATCTATTTGGAGAAAAGTGTTCCTGAAGAGTGGTGGGTGGTTTTTTTTTTTTCAGGTTGGGATTTTTAAGAAGCCTGCAGAAGTGCAAGCAAGGAAGATTTAAACCTTCTTGACTTAAGTGAACCAAGTTGTGCAAATATTGATAGACAGACAATACTTGTCACCCCAAAGGGCAATACTGACCTTACTTGGTTAGAAAGGAAAAAGAAAAAATGTGACTTTCCCCCCTCTAAGTTGTAACACCTGCACTGTTTGCTAGAATTGTTTTTTGTTAGTAAGCCATCTGCACAGTTAAGATGTAATAATGATGTAATTACCAAAATAACAGCTGGTGTAAACTTGATGTAAATGTGTATGATGGATTTGCGTAGCCAGCAACAATGTGGTGCCGTAACACATTATCCAGTATGGTTAAAAATGTTTATAAAATGTGCATGTAAAGTAGCTAAAGTATAAAACTGTTACAGGGCTGCCTCTTTCAAGCCTTCTTCAAGGGTGCTTTTGTCACTAAACTGTGCTGTCCTGTCAAAAATTATTACAGCTAAAATTGGTAAACAAGGCAACATGTTGAAGCCTTTGAAAGGAAGCAACTGTTCTCATTCTAGAAATAAATGTTACTCTGCCCCCTGGTTCCTGTGAAATAAAGTTTATGACTACCTGTGAATCTCAGACTGCTTGACCAAAAATGAATCAAAACCAAGCAAATGAAAGTAAAAGGTTTTTTAAGGATTCTGTCTCATCTCAGCCGAATGGCAAAACTAACATTTTTTTGTTATGAGTTGCCCTTCAAGTCTTCTGACCAGTTATTCAATTTTTATTAGTCCACTGATACTTAAATTCTGGGACCAGGATTTAAACATTAAAACCTTACTCAAATTCTAACACCCACTTCCAGCTCTCCAGCTACTTCTCCCTAATACCCCTCTGTTCACAGAGGAGCAGCCACGTAAAAAAACCTCCACACAACTGGAACATGTAACACACCTCAGGAAATGTCCAGGAATTTGACAAAATAAAGTATGAAGCGATATGAAAAAACAATATTCAAAGAAACCTCACTGAAAACCATCCTGGTGCCACATTTATTTATGCTTATGCCTGGGAGTTTTGTAGTTCCAATGTTTTCAGCAAATCTCATTTCCTTCCCAGAATCAACAGTGGGTAGATCTCAGATGTTAGGCTAGCTTTAATCCATTCAAAGGCTTTTTAAGATAGACCTAACAACTGACATTGCAGAACAGCCAGTGCAGGTCAGGGCAGAAGTATAGTGTACAAAGAGCCCATCACAAGCAGGCTTGTTTTCTTTAGCATCTAAGGCTTCTCAAACTTCACTGGCCAGCACTACATGAAGCATGCTGCAGCAATCCATCTTAGAGACTAGAGAGGCACAGACACCACCAAATCCTTTATCCCAAAGGAAAAGATTGTAAGCTTTTAGCCTTGAAGGGATGAAATAACCCAGCTATGTTTCAGCTTGCATTTCCAGACAACATTTCAGATGTGATGGTAAGGCTACTAAACATATCTTCTGTATCTCCTTGGGGCCTGTCCTCCACAAGCCAAGAATCACTATCCCCATCTATTTAGAGTGGCATATTCAAGCTGACAGCTGAAATAAACACAACAGAAGAGCACTAAGAAAAAAATGAATATACCTGTGAGCCATCCAGGGCTTGTAATGACATGGCTTCATCACCCAGCCTCCAGTACGAGCATACCTGCAGATCTGAAATAGTTTCTAGCAAAGGGCTGTTTAAGGTCTCTGGCAACAATAAACTTAAGAGCCCAGACAAAAGACCAGTTGCTCCAAACACAATGTAAGGCAGAGACCACTGTACAGATTTCTGGAAAAAAGGAGAGAGAGTCAGGTTGAGATCAGTTCTCTCTAGTTCATACTGCATAATAAAGCACTTAACGTTTGCCAGATGGAATAGTTGTAAAGGTTATGTTCATATTTAGCATAGAAATTATCAGTCTTACTTTTCTCTTTTTTTTAACCAATATTGTCAATTGTATATTATCAATACAATTATACCCACACAGATTTTGGGATGGACTTTAAAACAAATGCCTGTTGAATTCATATTCAGTTCTTGTCCATAACATATCTAGTTTTTAAACACACACAACATCTCTTTGTAGCAGGAAAGAGGTATCACAGAATCACAGACAGGCTGGTTTGAAAAGATCTCTTGAAGTCATCCAGGCCAAATACCTACTCTAAAGCACGACCACAGCCAACAGTAAGCCGGGTCAGCCATAGCTTTGTGCAACCAAGTACTGAAAAAACTCCAAGGATGGTGATTCCCCCTCTGAGTAGACTGTTCCAGGGCTGCATTAAGCCTCTCAAAAGAAGTATCTTCCAAATTTCCTATCTAACTCCCAAGCCAAAAATCTGTGGCCACTGACCCCTGTTGAACTGTTCCATGCTGCTGGGAAGGTCAAAGGTACAATATTCTCTCAAGCTTTCATCTGAAGCCACACACTCTAGTCCCCTGACCATCTCAGTTACCCTCCACTGGACCCTCCCAGATTTTTCAACATCCCTCTAGAACTGGTAGGGAACACATACTGAATTGGGCCTGATGTAGCTCAGTGTGAAGTTTGCCTGTTTGTGAGGAGAAGACACTACTAGCTCCCTTTTAACTTGTCATCCACTGTTGTACCCAGATCTCTTCCAGCAAGGCTTCTATTCAGCCAGTTGGTTCCCAGCCTCTACTGACCATCTAATTAGTCCACACCAGAAACAGAATTTTATTCCTGTTAGCCTTCATGGGATTTCTGTTGGCCCAAAAGGTCCCACTGGGGTCAAGATCTACAAGATGTACCAACACCATTTGGTGTGGCAATCATTCCATATTTTGCATATTCTAAAAATATGAGGAGGATGTATTCTATCTTATCACCTACTTGTCACCACACCAAACACCGAGCCTGTTGCTATACCTTCGAGCCTGGTGGTCTATGTAACATACCAATCTAATATTCCTTTCATCCAGAACACACTTCCTCAGCTTCCAAACAATGTTGTGGGACATGTCAAAAGCCTTACAAAAGCCCTTCCTGCTCTCCTCCCTTTCCTCATCCATATTGCCTTCTGTGATGAAATGGCTGACTACCAAATCAAACTGGCTGAGAATGAATTGTCCTTAGTAAACCCGTGTTCACTGATCTTAATTAATTACCCTCTTGGCCTTCACATGCTCAGAAACAGACTCTGAGAGGTCATGTCCCATGATCTTCCCAGAGACTGAGTCTGAGCTGCTCAGCCTGTAACTCCTTGAATCCACCTTCTGATCTTAGAGACTCACATACCATTAACTTTTTTCCCCCACAGTTATCAGTGACCTTTCTCTACAATGGTTTATCACAGATGACAGACACCTGCCTCACTATCACAGGCAGCTCTTTTACCACCTCTTATGGAATCCTATCCCACAGAATGGAAAACTTTCTGCTTTCAGTGTTCTTGAACCTATTGCTCCTCTACTGTTTGTTGGCCCTCTGCTTCCTCAACTGTGCTGACATGGTCCTGGGGTCAGGTTTTGCCTATGAAGACTAAAGCAAAATTGTTAAGTATTTCAGCTTAATCCATCTCATCCACCAATAGCATGTCCATCCCATTCAACAAGGTGCTAAACATTGTCTCTAAACTTTCTTTAGCTGATGGAATCCCTATTTATGTTCCTTGCTCGTTTTAGCTTCAACTGAGCTTTGATCTTCCTGTCATCACACCTGACAGCCTAAGTAATGTTTTCACATGGCTTGTTACAAGCAAAACTACAATGGGGAAAGGTGTGTGCAAAAGTATAAGTCATCTACAATATAGCTCCAAAATGTGTACGTTCACTTTCAGATGTCTGATAAAGCAGGCTCATCTAAAAAAAAGGCGAGTTTCACTGTTTGTTTCAAAAACTCACTTTGTATAGTATAAAGCAGTTCTAAACTGAGAAAACAGGCTGTGATCAAATACAAGAGCAATATTTCATCTCTCATCTCAGCAACTAACTTTTTGCAATCCCGTCCTTTTTATAAGATCACCAGACAAGATACTGAAAATGCATTAAAATAGTTGAAATTCCAAAACACAAAAATTCTTAATTCTTTCCTCAAATCAATGTTAATTTGTTATGTAAAACAGAGCTATTTTCACTTTCATGGCACCCCTTAAAATGTGATGATCCAAACTTCAGGTCTCCCGCAGTGCCTTATCTCTGCTAGATACAACATAATGGATGCCCCAACTGCTACATAAAAACTGTCTCTTCTATCTACCCGGGAGACCTGCACCAGTTTTGGCTTTGCCTGTTGTATGCTAGAGGTGCTCACACTCTCACCTCCCCAATGTTTCATTCTGAAGATTACAAGGCTCACTGTGCTCATCTGCCCTTCTGCTAGCCCTCTGCCTGACATAACAAGATGGCAAATGGCAGAGAGGAAAGTTATTCCAGATTAAATCTGTTGCATTAAAGGAATTGTCACTTGACCTCAGCACACACTTTGTGTGAGAAACTGGCACACTCTTTTACCTAAATAGGCATAAGACTAGAGAGCAAAATAACAGTATCATCCCCATGTTTCATTCTTCAGAATTTTTCTTTGCCTTGAGATTGCTGTGAAGTTTCTGCCCAAAAGCCTCACTGGTATATCAGGTCTAAACCTCATCTTCCTTCATTGAAAGATAAAACACTTCACTCATAATTATAGTCCATGGATATTCAGTGAAGTGCACTGCCAGTAAAACCAATTTATTCTCAGAAATATGAGTTATTGAGCCCATATGCTTTATCTTGATGCAGTAGACCTTTGACTACATCAGGTTTTTGCTAAAGCTCGCTTAAGGTTTTAAAATTGAGTACTGCCATCTTGTATTCTGAAATTACTATATTGCTGAAGTCCACTAGCTAAGTCCCAAAATTCTTTACAGGGCTAAAACACCTTCTGAACTAAGTAATGTTGAGTTTTTGTCTCATCACACAGATTATATCACAATGCCTTTGGCCTACCACAATACTGTTAAGCCACACCATTTACATATCTTGGTTTATGTACATAATTTATCCAAAATACTCCCACCTCTTTAAGACTCTAATACATCAGAGCCACAAAATTAAAATATACATAACAGTGGGAAATTCAGACAAACCAGTGAAGGGATGAAAGGAGCAATGATTCCACCGACACGGGAAAACATGGAGCAGGCACCCATTCCAACATTCCTAAGAAAACAAAAATCGTTAATCAGTGACATGTGCATAGGAGAAATAATAACTTTTCAAAAATGCCACTGAGCAAGGAAAGAAATAAATCTCAATCATGACCCTGACCACATTAATTGGCAAAGTCGAATGTAACTGAAAGCTTCCCAAGACAGGAATTAAAACATATGTTTTGTGCTTAAAGAGAAGCAAAAATCCTCTGCACATTCAGAATTCTAACATACATACACATATAGAGAGCAAAAAAAGTGCTATTTCAGTTAAAGCATCTTGTCTCTGCCTGAAACTTTGGCTAAGTTCCTTTATCCAAATCCAATTTATCAGCAGGTTTGCTCATTAAAATCCCACAGTATAGTTTCACTGGTGGCTGATGATTGACAATAATATGTGGTTAAAATATCTATTAAAAATTGCACCCATATGATTTTGTCTGCTCTGTCAGCACAAGCACGGGGTACTTCTGCCTCTAGTGAGTGAACCCTTACTGCTGCTTACATATGGCCTACAAAGCATCAAGCTACTTTTACAAAGCTTATTAGCCAGTCACCTTCAGTGCTGCTGGTTAAGCAAGCATGAATGTTTAATAGAGTTGTCTGGTTTATAAAGCAAAGAAAAAGTTACGAATATCACTCATTAAATAAATATCAGCAATACTTTTGTTATCCTCATCAGTGAAGAGAGGACTGTAAGCATACCAAGCAGCCAAAGGACTATTTTATTGTTATATAAAGAATATGGTTAGTCCAAAGAGAACACTGCAAATTTGAGGGAAGAGGAAGTGAGAACAGGATAAGGGAAGAAATTTAACATATAAAACTACAGATAATCATTATATGTAACTGAAAATCTCAAAAGAAAAGGTATACTTAACAGAAAAAAAACCAGAGAAGTAGAAGGTGATCAGGTAAGAGAACCAGAAAAGACCTTAAAATTAACTTGTGTTACCTGATCACTGTGGGATAGAGTTCTGACGTGTAGATGTAGACAATGTTAAATGCAGCACTGATTGTCAGCTTCCCCAGCAAAGACAGAGAGCGACTATTCACCACTGCAAACATTCCAGTATCTGACAGAGAAAATGTGACCCTTGTAAGGCTTTTGAGCACTCAAACACATTTCCGTAATAATTTCAATCACACAACTGTATGGAGTGAAAAGGAATCTACTGAAGAACCTGCTATGACAGCCAAGTGTTCTTCAATTAAAGGACAGTATTTGTCAGAGGTGATCTGTACCTTCAGAACTCTAAAAACTCAAGAGAATCCAAGAAGCCTTCTTTAGGTGGCAATGGCAGAAACCATCCAACATAATATATATTCTGTGTCTACAGATTTATTACCTTTACCTGTGCAAACAAATTTGTACAAAGAGGAAAACTCTCTATTGTGACAAAATAACTGAAAAAATGGATTTTAAATTCACATCAGACTCGCTGCTAGGGCAAAATTGTGTCCATTCTATTAAATATAATCCAATAGAAAAAAACTGCATTCCAGAGACCACAGAATGGAATACTGCTCAGTACCAGAAAAAAGCGGAACTGTTTTCCTTTCCTTGTCTTCAGCGTTACAATAAGCATCATCTTCAAAGAATTAAAATCCCACATTAAGGCTCTACTAAAACATCAAATTTTAGAAGTGTGAGAAAAAAAAAAAATCCTATAAACATAGTAAAAGCTAAAACTAAAACTCAACATTTTCTGAGTCTACCACTAACACAATACTAAACTAGTTCTGTCCGTAAGTTGAAGAAAAGAATAATGGATACATTTTTCAAAAGTCAGCAAGGTTTTTCTAGTAACAAGAGCCCTATTCGGTGTCATTTCCATAGTATAACATGCTTCCAACATTATTACTCTGGAAGAAAAACCAAAGACAGACAGACACTGTAAAGAACCCAAATATCCCATCCAGCGCAGTTTTGTCAGAACAATCAGTGCTTATTTGCTTATACTGGGCACATCAGAACACACATTAAACACCTCCCAAGGAAGGCTACAGCATAAATAGACACAGGTGCTTGTTTCTGGCCAGTTAGCCATTTTGCTTCCTAAGGTACCTTACCCCTGGCTGACTTGGGCAGCTCAGCACACAGCAGGATTTCCTGCGGTCTTGCAGTTCTGTCCTCTAAAAATACCCTTTCTTTTCACATGTTATACTTGGACTGGTAGGCAGAATCTACTTGATGACTGCTACCGGCTCAAGCATGTGGAATACTTCTGGAAACTTGACTTGCACCCCTTTAAAAAAGTTTTATCTATTAGATTCATCTAGAGCAACTTATGCACTCCGTCATCATAAATGTTTAATCTTTTTGATTCACGCTTCAAATGTTCGAAGCATTTTCTCTCCTCATGACAGGTGTTATATATGAACAGATCTTGGAAGCCAAGATGAATTTATACATCTCGTTTTAAAAGGAAAAATTGCTCACGGTGCAATTTTTCCATTATTTTGAAAAACATTCAAAAATGGAGAAAGGAACATTAGTGTATCTTTACAAAAAAAGACATTTCATTTCATATTTCTTAAACACTCCTCGCTTCAGATTTTCAGAATGCTCTCTGAACTTTTATGTGCCACATTAATACTACAATCACATCAGTATTGAACATTACAGAGCAGTGAGTAAAAGACAGAAACTTGCCCCCAAATTCAATTCTTAAGATATTTTGACATTGTTTTTTCACTTGGAGAGATACATACAAGTTGTCTGGGTACTACTTACATTGAAATATCATTTGGCTAATGGAGATAATCACAAAGAGTGAGGTTTCTTGGGGTAAGTCACAAACAATGGAAAGGAGCGATTGGCATGATCAGAAGTAAAAGGTAGAATCCAAAGACAAAATTTCAATTCCAAACCTTTCTATCAAGCTTTCCTTAAGGTCTTGGGAAGGTTGCTGCTTATACCTTTTGTGACTTAGCTTCTCCGGCTTAAAAAATTGGTACTTGCATGTAATATGAGCCTAATCTACTGGCAACCATCACATTCTTAGGCTGTAGGATGCTATGTTTACCAATTCTTATCACATACTCCAGAAATAAGAGGAAACATTTACCTTTCTTTTTAGGAAGAAACATGACAATAAGACAAGCCAATCCTCCCAGGAACAGAAATGCACTCAGTGTTCGCTTCCGACCAAACCTGATGTGCAAGGATAACAAAGCTTTATTCTGCATTAGATCTGTAGCTTCCAGAGCAATGAGTCCTCTAAATTCACGTTGTCTCTATTTCCAGTTGGAAATTCTGAACGCCATCTCCCACAAACACTTCCTCTCATGCTGCTTTTAAACAAGATTCTACTGCACTCATAAAACGAGCACCAAGAAGTCTTTATGCAGCGACTGACAATTTCTAGGATTTTGATTTGCTTCCCACTGTGTGTGCACGTTTGTAAAGCTCCTCAGGAGACATGCAGAGAAGAGACTGGGAGGTGAATTCTACAAAAAGTGAAAGACATTGTCCAGAATATCACAGCTCAGGAAAAGGCTAAATACCTGAATCAACAGCTCTGCTCACATGGTAGTGCACACAGCAACTATTACACGAAACCACGCGACAGTTTCATCTGAGTTTAGCTGCAACAGCTTTGAGGTAACAGCGAGAATGGGGATTAGGAGACAGAGGTGAGAAGAACGCCATCTCGTGTTTATCATGGAGTCAGCACAATGAGGTTCGACTGATCTAAGAGATCAGCGTCCTCTCTGAGCCAAATTTAGATCGCTCATTATTAGTAGGTGAGCTACTGCGAACAAGCTAAACTGTTATTTGAAACAAGGATATATAAATGGCACTTTCAAACTGAAGCAGGAAGCCCCACACAACAGATATAAACTAGGAGATGCAATATATAGGAAACCTGTCTTTGAGAAAAATTGTAAAACCAAACCCTGAATGGGTTAATAAATTTCATACTTACCACTTTTGGTTAATCAAGTAAATACAGATTGGGTATGCTGGGATTTCTATCAACCCTGAAAGGGCTAAATTGGCATAAATACTTCCACCTAAGTCGCCCACATTAAGGGTAAGACCGTAGTAAACCAAGCTGCACACAAACCTGCAAAAGACAGAAAAAGAACAAAATCAGAGTTGCTGTTTTGCCTGCAAAATCAAAGCACTGGTGTCCTGATTCAACTAGGATAGGGTCAAGTCTCCCCAGCAGAGAGGGGGAAAGGATCTCCAGCCGGGTTATTCATACCATGCTGACGTCAGGTCCAGGGGCGGAACCTTTTTACTTTCGCTTTTGGTTTTGGGGTTGTGACTCACATGGCGGGCTTGTTCCCTGACCATTTTGCGGTACTTTTCTGTATATCTTTGGTCTTGTTCACTGTTATTGCTGTTTATTGTTGTTATCATTGCTACTGTTGTTGTTCAGATTGTTTATCACACTGTTGTATTAAATTTCTTCTTATTTTAGCCGGGGTCTGTGCTTAACTTCCAGCCCGACCGGCTGAGGGTGGGAGAGGGGCAACAGCAATGTGGTCTCCGGTCCCGGCAGGGCTTAAACCAGCACACTGGTCTGGCACAATACACTATAAACTGTATTTGGTGTTTCAGAGGATGGATCTAACGTTTCTCTACAAGTGTATGATGCTGTCTAGGTAAAGAAACTATTTTTGTCTCTGCACAGACCCAAATTCTGAGTTAAACTTAAGACGACACTTAAGAATGTGCATAAACCAGAATAAATTTAAAATATGATCATGATTGTATTTTACTTGAGAAATTATGTCGTTGTCCTTTTTGGTTTTAATCAGGTTTCACTTGCATCCATACTTTTCCAAATTGTGTGTAAACACTTTCTCAAACAGTTCAGATGATACTTCATCTTCTTTTATTTTCTACACCCTGGTCCAGTTTTATCCATTTTCCAAATCTGATTTTTTAAATTTTTATTTTGTAACTCTGACTGGCTGTCATCTTTACAGAGAGGAAAGAAACATGTCACTAATTCACCCTGCAGGAAATCAGCAATTCTCATTTAAGGAACAGAAAAATCAACTGTTCTGTAGCAAGCTCTTGAAAAAACAACAGGAAAACAGCTCTGTGTTATCTGCTGGCAAAAAATAATGCCATTTGTTTTTTTCTTAACCAATACATCTTCCCCAAATATATGCATTATAAAAACAACCGTATGAACAGTAATGCCAGAAGACTCACACACAAGGTTTATTTCATAGCAGCAGCAAAAGAGCACAGGGTTAGCAGCGCTCTCTGGGAAAAAAAACAGGCACTTTTTGGAGTTAAACTTCCACTTATGACTAGAAGCAGCATCATGGGTTCCTGCTCCTTCCTACAGCAACTGCTAGCACTGGTAGCACTTTCTCTTAAGAAAATAAACAGATTCAATAGACAAGGTAGGCCACCCACCTAACAGGCTCCTTACACACAAAAAGAATAATCCATGTGACTCAAAGTACTGACACAGCACTAAACCAAAGAGGAGGACAGCATAACTAATCTCACCAGCCATTCAGGGTCAGAAGGGGAGAGGTAGCTCTCAACTGAGACTCAAGAAGCATGAAAGAAACACAAAGATAAAACACCTCAGAGCGAGACTGTAGAAATGGCTTCGTGTTACAAATGCACTAAGGAAATACTATAATACAAGGATCCTTTTTAGGTACAGTGTCTCTAATAATACGGGCTGAGACTAAGTACAATCTGCAGAGTGAGCCAATTCTTAGCAACATGCTCTCTCAAAGACTTAAAGAGACAACAGGAGCACAGCAGGGCCTACAAAGTATTTCAAGTACCAGGTAAACATCATGATCAAGGTGCGTCCCAAGAGAATCTTGTATCGGAAGAGATCCAAGAAGCTGCCAGCCTCTCTGGAGCTCCTCTCTGCTGGGAGTTTTAATGAGAAAGTGCACTTCTGCTTGCGGTTCCTCTTCGCAATGAGGTAGAGGGCATCTTCTGCTTCATTCAGTCGGCCTTGTGAGTAAAGCCAGCGGGGGGACTCTGGAATGAATCTGAAACACACATACATACACAGACAGCTTTAGGGCTCTTCTCTTCCATGAGGCTGGGCTTGTGTACAGAAATAAGGCTGAAATACATTTCCGTATTAAAAAAAAAAATTTAAAACAACCCTTCAGGTAAAAAATTCACTTACTGAAACAGAGACAAAGCACGATGAAAGGAAAGGGAACATAAATCATGTGTAATTTAGATACCAAGAAATTACATTGATTATATATACACATACCATAATACAAGTTACAGTATTATTAGGACCCTGTCTTCAGAGAATTGAGAGGTACTACATTACTACAAGTAAGGATGTATTTGTAACACCAACTAGTTGTCTTCCATTTTCCAACTTTTTCCCAAATTCTTTCCTGTAGACAAGAAAGCAGAGGCTATGCAAAGACCGTGCTCTTGCTCCCTATGTGCACTGTTCACTTGATAGGTCTATAACTCCAACACAGCCTACAAAACAAATCTATTATTTTCAGATTCCCAGAGCTAATTTAAACTTCATTCTTTCACCAGAAGCTTTAAGATTCTTGCCTCTGATCAGAGATAACATTTTTCCTTTAAATTTAAAGGAAAGTGATTCTGTGCTTATATAAAAGAAAAGAGCTCAGAAAGGAACATGTTTTCTTCCCCATGAAAAAAAAATAATCCAGTAGTATTTTCTGCAGAGAGTAATTTTTAAGCAATTTGAGAGGGAGGCAGTGTGAAATCTGGAATAAAAAAATCCTTTCTTACAATAAGATAGGCCTCTGAGCACACCTCTGAAGTCCCAAGTGTAAAGCACTTCAAAAAATGGTATGTATCACTGTGAAAGTTAAAAATTCTTTGCCAAAGGCCCCAAACACCAGTAAGTTTTGAAATATCATGTGTCATCTCTGCCTTTCACCTCATGAACAGCCTCTAAGACCTTTCCCTGAATTCTGATGCTTCCTTTGAAAGAGTGTGTTGATTCTTCAGCAAAGAGCTTTATTCAGAGAGTTAGTTACTGAAGTTAAATAGTTGAAATAGTTGTTGGAAGGAAAAAAGCCTTAATTTAAACAACTGCTAAAGTTATTTTCTTCTTTCAGTTACTGAGGTTTTGCTATCAGGAAGTATATGAGAAAAGAAGTGCATACTGCATCATATAGCTTTCAGTGCTTAAGTCCACAGACATAAAACCCCTACTACCTTAATAAAGAAACCATCTTCCTATCCACATTTGAAAAATAAAAGGAAGCTGCCCAATTTTTCTTTTGCACGTCACCTTTAAGACTATATGTGTAAGCAATGTTGATGCTGTTCCTTCTGTGTAATTATAACAACATGTTATCACATAACTGCAAAAAACATTTTTGTGTCTTTTAACATGCGTATACAGTGTCTTGTAGCATACCAGACATATCATCTACATGTACCAGTTAAAGAATAGGACGTGCCTCTACACCACTCTAGATAGAGACTGTTCCCATCTAGAGTAATAATCCATACACAATACAACGTACACGTATGTTTTCAAATGCTGCAGCACCACTATTTAAAGAAAGCACAGAACTTGCGGTGGTAGAGGTTGAAATACTTCAGTTACACCATTTCATGCCATCCTATAAAGGCACCTTGACTTAGTAGTTGGGTTTGTTAATTTTTTTCTTTTGTTCTTTTTCCTATTTTTGACACCTTTCTTGATGAAACCTGGTTTGAAATATAACTTACACAGAGAGAAGAAAGACGACTGTTCCTTCCAGGTTAACCACAACAGCCAGAGTCCTCCAGGAGCGAATGAAGTACCCTAATAAAGCATACTGGGCAATTCCCACAGCAAAGAACAAGCCACCAATAGATCCTAACATACAATTGAAAACAAAAACCATTATCACTCCTTTAGGGAACATTAGAACTCTTAACACACCGGATCAGACAAAAGCTAACAGCTTCATTACGAAAATTCACTCAGCAATACAGGCAAAGCCACAGATATCTGACCAAATATTTTGTCCTTCACAAATACAGGGCAGAAGTATTACAACTAACTGCAAAGACCAATAGTCCCAAAAGCACTCTACATCCTCTTCACCCAAAGCCCCATAAAGAAGTAAGTCTTGTAATTCCAAATATAAGTATGTTTTAGATTTGTCTGTGTAAAAATAAATCCTACAAACCATTTGAAAAGCAGTATTTTTAGGAATATATAGTATTCATTTGTAGCTCTCATAATTTGTAAGATACCCTGTTTCAAAACTGTTTCAGCATATTTGTCACTGACTAAGCCAGGCCCCAGAACTGTGATGGTACAATTTATACTCATACCTGAAGGACAACTTCAGCATTAGCAACCAAGACAGTTAAGGGTGTCTGTACCTTTTGTTCTAAATTCTAAGGTTGATTACCACATGGGACTTTTTTTTTTTTTAAACAACAGTTGTCTCATCATCCCATTATATAAAAGCATTTTTGGTTTCTTTTTGAGAAGACCAGGAATGAAGGAATTGATATTTAGCATACAAACACTAAGCTGTTTAGCAGAGCCCAAAATTCTGATGGACAGAGCTTAACTGTCACAAACCTTGGATGAGTATTCAATTGTGTAACATTCACAGGGGATGTTTCAACTGGACCTGTGTCAAGTTGAGCAATGCAGAAATCTGAATGGGCCCAAGTCACCTACTGTGCTCATCTGAGGTTCACACAAAACAAAGCAGGGCTCAAAGACTGTGGTCACACAGTTCGATTCACAACTGCTATGGTGTTAGCTTTGGTGTGTGAGACTGAAATCTATAAATTCTGACAATAATATAGTGGCACTCAAACTTTACCTGCTAATGCCCAGTAGGCAGTACCCACACACTCATTGAGTAGAACAAAGGCCACCAGTGACATCCCACCATTCATCATCCCTACCAAGAAGCGAGAGATGGCAAAGAATTCATATGAGGGTGAGAATCCATTTGCAATGGCAAACAAGATGTCAAGAGCAAAACCTGGAAAACAAGGCAAAAGGTTTAATTTCAGAAGAGTACCTAAAGAAAAACAGAAGATTTATCAGTATCTTTACCTGATGTTCAGTGGCATCTGAACTAAGTAATCACAGTCAACAACTACAATGCAGGTTTGGGCAGAAATTTAAGTACCTGAAGTCAGTATCATAAAAGGGGGGACACAAAAGGAGTTGGTTTGGATATGTAATTCCAGTACTAAACCTTCAAATTCAGTTCACAGCAGAAAATTTGTTCATATACTCAGAACTGCTGTCTGGCTTCAGTTAAGATGGCTTGATATTTATCTCCATACAGAAGCCTCAGATTAAATATGAGCAAGCATCTCCCCTTATTCTTGCAAAGTAGCCTGTGCAAATTAGAGAAGAGAAACATTACCAGGAGACAGTACATGGGGAGTTTGCACTGCATAGCAGGCCCACCTTTATCTGCTTTGAATGAGGTTGTTCCTTTGAAAAAAATAATCCGTTTTTTTTATTCTACATGCTCATCCATTGACACACAACTTTATAAATACATTCAAAACCCATGAAGTTCCAACTGTTGTTTGATCTGGGGACAGTAAAAAAAGCTTATGAGCTTCAAAACACAAGGAGGATCACAAATACATAAAAATTAAATCAGGCAGATAGAAGATAAAAAGGTGCAACAAATTCCTAACAGGTTATACATGTAAGAATATTGCTAATAAGTTACTAAAAATATTAACTGCAACCTATGGAGATCCTATGAGCATGACATGCATGAGTGCAAGCCCTTATGGTATGATTCCTAAATCCAGAACACCTCCCAGTGTGATCGGTGATTGAATAGTTAAATCACTGATTTCTCATCCCTGAGAGATATTCCCAAAGTATACCGGAAGTACAAAACAACAACAACAACAAAAAAAATCAAGATCACAGCACATGATTCACCGCTGTGTATCAACCTCTCAGCAGAAACTGGGCTCTTGCACTGATCTTCAGAGACACAACACATCCACTTCATTCATTTTGTTAGGTGGCAGTAGTTACCTGTGAGATAGACTTTCTTCCTTCCGAAGCGATCTGAGAGCTGGCCAAAGGAGATTGCTCCAACAAACACACCACTGAAGTAGAAAGAACTGGCAGCACTGACTTTGTACGATGTGTTGCCAATTAAAAACCACTGGATGGAGGGAGGGGTGAGGGAGAGGAAAAAAATAAAGTGAATTACCCAGAATCCAAGCAGTTCAGTAGTTCACCAACAGCTAACAGTTGGAGGGAGATGATACAGATTTTAAGGAAGATCAAACTTTGCCTAATCTCCAAAGCATCACATTCAGTCAGTCATCAGTCACCAAAACACAACTGCTGCCTCCCAGACTCAGCAGGTGGTACTAACCAACTGCACAGTTCCCCCAAATCATGTGCAGTCTTTGATTCTGAAATCAAGGACAGATTCCTCAGAACATTGTAATTTTTGCAGCCTTCTCCCACTCTCCTTTTTATTGCCTCTTCTCACATAAATCTATTAGCTTAAATAGACTCAGTCCTACCTCCTGACATATGTCACTGTGGTGTGTAGGCACACTAATCAAAAATAAAAACTGTAGTTTATGTCCAAAGATAATCCTGCATGCACTCCTCTTCATGAACTGTCTTGTCACTAAGAAACACCTGGTAGCATTAGACAGGTTTTTGGTATTGCAAATACTTATCCTTTTTACAGTATACTTTGTGTCATTTCCCGTTCTTCTCAATTCCAAATACAAACCTGATCTTCGTACGTTGGATTCTTACAGACTCAATGTCTCAGGTTGAGCCTGACAGGAAATTCTTTCCCCCACAAAACTGCAGAATGAAAATATGCCACACTTTCACTGTTCAAAAGATATTTCCTTTTGTATTCTAAAAGCTCCACATCTTATGTTCTTTTCTTTTTCTACTCCTCTTGCATCTTGAGATAATGTTTCCTTTTAGTGACACCCAACTTTTCTTCCTGTGCTGGTAAGCTGGTGATTATGTCATTATCCCTGCAATAACACTCTAATCTTCTCCTCATAATCTTCTCTTCCTCTACCAAAATCCCATTAGATATCCTTTCTAGCAAAGCTTATATTATTTCAAAGCTCACTTATAAACTACCTCACCATGAGAACAGAGCCATGCAATTAAACCTCACCAAGATTAGGGAACTAACAAAACAAAATCATTCAGAAGCTCCAAGAAAATAACTTGCTTACTCTCTGTATATGCTTCATTTTGAATTGCCACTTTAATGGTGAGGTGTTTACTGATATGGTAGGTAATGTGCCCATAAAGCATCAAGACTGACAAAATTCAATTCTAAAACAAACCATGTGACCACAAATCAGCTTCTGAAGCTTCTCTAGATTTTAAAAACAATTCCCAGAAAAATACAGTTGTATAATAGCATATGAAATTAATTTTATCTTGAAATAACATGGTCAGTTTGTTTTATAAGAGCTACCAGAATAATGTCCTAACTTTTGGTATAAAAATTTTAAAAAGCTGCCAACACTGAAACTCAGTGACATTAGATGCTTTCTGAATTGTTCAGGGATTAAGGGATAATTTAGTTGTGAAGCAAAATTTGTTCTACAAATTAATCTCAACAGCTAAGAAGCCCTTTAAAAGGCTGAAGGCTTTTCTCCTCTACATAAGGCATGTTATATATATATATGTATGTGTATATATATATATATATATGTATGTGTATATATATATATATATATGTATGTGTATATATATATATGTATATGTATGTGTATATATATATATGTATGTGTATATATATATATATGTATGTGTATATATATATATATATATATGTATGTGTGTATATATATATATATATGTATGTGTATATATATATGTATGTGTATATATATGTGTATATATATATGTATGTGTATATATATATATATATATGCTTGATATTCATAAATAAAGCTTTTAACATCAGAATATCTTTCAGTGTAGATCTGCAATGGTTGTGTTATTACAAAGTGATGCCACAATATAAGCATTTAAAACATCCTCCTCAAATGTAGAAAAAGCTTCTTTACAAATTAGTACTGAAATTAGATAGTGATGAGCTATCCCCCAAATAAGTGTGATCTCACTAAAATCTTTGTATTTAGCACATAACTTCCAAATATACCACACATTCAACTAACAACATCTTAAAAACAACCTGTATATCAACAGTAGCAAACAGGAGAGGTAACAAGATTTTATACACATAGGCCTTTACTAAGAAGTATGTTAAAGAACTACAAAGCAGAATCTACACAAGCCTTGGGATTTTTAGTTTTGTATTCTTTACCTGCCTTTCTTATTTATGCCAATGAAATGATTAAGAATCTTTATACCATTTATGCCTTAAACCACTGCAAGGCTCCACAAACATGTCTGACTTGTCAAGTTTAAGAGAGTAGAAGATTCTTGGATAAATTAAAAAGCAAAAAAGAAAAAAGGCCAGAGGAAGTTTGAAAACCTTACTGAGCTTTAAATAATGCTTAAAAAAAAATCCACAGTCCATTAGGATTTTTATTTTAATAGTGGCATAAGTACTCATATCCTCTTTATTACCATAATAAGAAGCAATGCCTGTTGTGCACAACCACTTGGTACTATTCCAAATCTGGCAGTTTTTATTAATATGCTCACAACCAATAAAGTTAAGTGCTTTACAGGACTAATTCAGATAGCATTAATGCCTCTGGACAATAGCCATGAATTATCAAGTGGTACTACACTCAACTTGACTGTACAGCTCTAAATTCTGGTCTTGTAACAGATGCACTCAGATAGGACTTTCGCACAGGACAATTTGACATTAACAGATCCTGAATGCCCCAGGAAGGGCAGGTGTTGCACACAGAGCAGAGTCTGAAATTGTTTCTGTAGGGACTGTGGCTAGACCATGAAAGATGACACTTAAAAAACAGAGGCCACACCAATAAAGCTAAAACTTGGTTTGGGATAGGAATGGGGGGAGGTGCTTTGTCCACCTGATTCTCCACTGACCATGCCTTCCTTCACATCTGGAGCTGCAAAAACTGCAGAAGCCACTTCCCTCCTTTCCAGTTCCTCCACTGTTCGCTAACTGTGGGACAGATGCATGCATGTGACCTTGGCAAGGGAATCACAAGAGGTGGCCAGAAAGAGCTCAGGGTCCATGAAGGACTTTGAGCATGTTAATACAATGAATGGCATGATTCCAGCTCAATTGCAGAACCAGGCTACAGGATCCAATACGCCACTTCCAGATGAAAAAGGCAGGAAGTTTTGAGGCAGAACTTTGGTCAAGAGCTGCATAACAAAATAAAGCTAGTTTTTGTTGCCAGTAAAGATATGATTACCTGTTCTCTATCTGGAGGTAGCACCTTTTTCATTTGCCAAAACATGCATTAGTACTGAAGAAAGAAGCAGTGCAAGCAGCCCCCCACCAACTGACCCACTAAGATTTACTACTCACACGTGAAGCAGCAAAACCCATTTCAGACTTACCTCAGAGACTATTGATGTGAAGCTGCTGCTGAAGTGTACATGCTTATGCACCTCGCTGCCATTGGCAGTCAGAAGCCATTCCCCAAAAGCTCTCTGCTCACTCGCTGACTGGTTGCTATGGCTCTGATTAGCAGAGAGCTCTTGGAGATCCCAGTGGTAGGGAGGAGTTGCGCCCACCAAAGCGATGAGGATGGCTTCAGTGGCCACGTAGAGCTGGCATGAAAGACAAAACACATCAAAGATGCTAAACATACATCCAGGCAATATTTCCTCTGCAGCTGGATCAAATCGGTGTTAAAAAACATTCATATTTTGTATTTGCCTTCTAACACTACAAGATGCCGTGTGTAGCCCCTGCCTACCAAATATCACATGCTACAGAACTACAACTTCAACATAATGGTTCTTGCACTTTTTATCTGTTGATTATTTCAGAGAAAAGATGTTCCCCTCCTGACACTTCTCTCAGCAGCCCCCCAACTCCCACACAAAGCAAGTACCCCTCCTGAAGGTATGGATAGTTGTTAGTAGTACTAAGGAGACAAAATAAAACCATTCTTTAATCCAAGAACATTATTATATCCTTTCATTCTACCTGTATTGTTCATTCCTCTAATTTGATATTTGCAACAGATTTTCTCCTCCCCGTTTCATATCTATCTTCCCCAGTTTTACCAAAATTCTTTCCTATTTTTTAATCTTCTGTGAATCTGTTTTACTCTTTTAAGATATAGAAGCATGCATGTGAATGTATATATGTGGGGTTTATTTATCTACACATTTATAAAGACACACACAAGGTCTAAATACAGTGATTAACAGCTGGCTTTGTTTAGGAAAGAATAAATAAAACTGCTGGAAACCCCAGACATTTCAAGCCTGGTCCAGAGCTGGGTCACTGCTGCATGCTCAGAAGAACATTCACAGGCCATTGCTTTAACAGACTACATTAAAACCCAGTGGTTTTAGACCTGTTTGAACATAGTAGTGCCACAGGTTCTGCAACAGAAGACAGATGATAAAGTCTTCTGAGACACAAAAGGAGCTACTGGTAACAACACAAAGATCCCTCAATCTTGTCTCAAGCCCTCACTGAGGAACAGTAACTCAGAGTAGCTCATGACAAGAAAAAAAAAAAAGGAAGAATGTACCCACAAGAAGTGTGTTCTCTCAGAAGACTGCTACACCCATAATTCTCAACACTGGGAAGACCATAGATAGGCACAGAAAAAAAAAAGAAGTGAGGACCTCTTGAATTCTGATGCAAGCAACACCAGGTAATCCTGCTCTGTACAACAGCTGAGCAGTCAGAGTTACTCCCAGATCTAAATGAGAATTGCTACTAAATTAAAACAGAGACCCACCAAGTTACTATCTGAAAGCATATTCTTTCCATTAGCTCCTTATTGCATTCTACATGATAAACTGCTACTGTAGTGGCAGAAGGTAAATAAATATTTTTCTAAAAAAAATCATCCTCTTTCTATTTTTAAAAATAAAATTATTGAACATCAAAGGGAATTTGGAAGACAAACTACAATCTGTTAACTATGTTACTGTTTAAGCTAAAGAACAACTTGTAGATAGACAACGATGAAAAGAATTCATCTGGGAAAGAAGGCAATGACTAAGGCTACATGGGAAAGAGGTGTTAAAAAGCTGAGTGGCCATGTTGCTAGGGATGTGTAGATACAGTACTCTCAAGAACAGTTTGAAACTACTAAGAAATGTGAATTACAAGTCATGATCTGTGGTGCATCTCTGTATTCTGACTTGCTCAGACAATTCCGGAGCAGGACTAAGTGATAACATCCTTGCTTTTGTCTTGTGAAATAATAAGCATATTTTTGAAGTAGTTCAGGAAATTAAATCCTCAAGGCATTTGCTTTAGAGAAAGAAAGCATAACACTTCTCAATTTTGCTCTAAGTGAAACCCATCCCAGCTACAGAAAACTAAATCAAAAAAGAGGTGACTGCAAGCACACAAAGAAACACTACAGATATTTTTTTCAATTAAAAAATTCAGCTTTAAGCATCCTATTGGCTGCAGCAAGCAAGGCTATAACAAAGACAGAAACACATTCAACTGATCTGTTGAATCAGAAAAATGTATGAAGATGGAGACATGTTTTGATGTTATCAATAATATTGCTCTATATCCAAGTTCACTGGAGTCACTGCTGACAAGACTTTTTTCAATAGATCATCTGCCTTGTACTTTGGGTAACAGGTGTGGTAAATGCTCTTCATTTCACGCAAAACCCAAACAAAAACTAAACCCACAAAACACCCCCAAAATTCATTTACAATTCTGAAGACAGGAAACATTTTCTAGAAGTGGTCTTAAAAACACAACGAAGCAAACCCTAAATGCAAAATACAGTTTTTATCGTTCAAGTAAGAGGTAGGAGTTTGTGTTAATGAACCTGGAGATTCACCCTCAAGAATTCTAAATGTTTGCCCTTAGCAGTAACATAGTTGTGGAGACTGGGGATCACTATAAAAGCAAATCAAACAGAAATACTATAAAATGGCTACACTATATGCACTGTGGCAAACAAAGCCCTTCATTTTTCATTTGTTCTATAACCCAAGTCAAATTTATGTCATTTAATGTATACCGTCTATTCATAAAACATTTTAATTGGCTTTATGTGGATGTTAACAGTTCCCTACCGAATTCCCTGTACTGATCTGTATTAATCAAGATGAATACCAAGCACAGGGGGAGGAGGCAGCAGCTCATAGCCACTGATGATGAAATGCTGAGAATTTTGTTCATTTGGTTTATGCTTCTTCTATTTGTTTATATTATCTGTATGTTAAAATTTTATAGTCTGTCTAGATTAGAACAGGAGATTTATTAAAAGGCAACACCTTAATCTGTAAACTTTCGCTTTCTCTGCAAAGCAAAAGGAATTTCATAGTTACCCATTTATCTATTTCATTAACAGGTTTTGAAATGAGCTTAAAATTAATATTTTGAAATTAATATTAGTTGAAATGCCTGGAATGTCTTGATCAGCTTTCTTGGTGCTATTTTTCATAATAAATTACTTTCAAGAAAAACATTAAATCTCTAATAAGACTAGAGAGGGAGAGAAAGAACTGAAATAGTTTCAGTTGTGTATAATAAAACACAGACACGAAAATAATTTAAGAAACTCTTTTAGACCTCATAATTTACCCATTATAAAGCACAAATGAAAAACAAAAGCAAGACTGAAACTCTACTAAGAAGTGCTTTCAGCCTTTTTAATCAGCTCAGCAATTCACAACCAGCCTGGTCATTCTAGACAAGTATCAGCTGAAGCATTCAATGGAGAACAAAATAATGAGTAAGCCACTAACTTCTGACCTTTCAAAAACAGAAACATTAAAACTCCACTTCGGAGAAAGACAGAAATTAAGGAAGAACAAATGACCTTGCTCTGGTAGAAGCCTACCATGAAGAGATGGTTACACTTCAGGATTAGTGTATTTCTCCCGAACCCATGACAAGCAGATGGAAAGCTGGAGGGCCACCTCATTTTTGAAAGCCTGATGAGCTCATCTGCTCCTAGTTATTTCAAAAGGGTGATTTGCAAATAGCTTCACTGTACATGTTTTCTGAGAAGACTGTCCAAGTGGCAGCTAACCCCTGCGTACACACATTTGCCTGACAGGGCCACGGGAACACCATGCACACCCTGTACCTGTACTCCTGCCTACCTAATGATGACAAAACCTGCAATAGCATTGGTGAGAGGACTGCCGCACACATACCTAAGCTCTCAACTCCTCAGCTCAAGTTGCTTGTCTTGTAGTCTATCACAAGAAAATGAATCTACCTTTTTTTCCACCAACATGCAAAAGTGATCTTTATCAGCAAAATTCAGTGAAGTACTTTCAGTTCTGCACTTCTGTCACTAGTGCCATTCTAGAGATCCAGTATTTCTAGATAAATCGATTCCATTTGAGATTTCTCAGTTACTGTCAATAAACCCAAGATAGAAGTCATGTCAGAGTCTGCTTCTAACTGGAAAGCAAAAACAGAGGGTGGAATGCGGATGGTGACAAAGTCAAGTCAAAACAAACTTTCACAAAGGGTTCTCCAACAATAAAACAATATTCTTCACACAACAAGATCTTGAGTGAATTTAACTCTGAATATGCATACTTCATTAAACTGTGCCAATAACATGAGATTCTTTACCTCTTCCACTGCTCCATTCTCCTAAACACCAAAATACACAAAGAAGAAAACTTACAGGTAAGAGACATGTTGCTATTATTTCCTGCAAGCTGAATTTCTCCACATTGCTATAGATACAGATAATGAGTTTGCTGTTAAAAAGTCAGCTGTCAGTCTTGTACTGAAGCAAAATCTTCCAAGACAATTTATCTATATAGTTTGCTCCTGGACAGATGAAACAATTTATGGGATGGAAAAAAGCTCGATAGGATTCCTCTACTGTGGTATACCAGTGTCTTTAATAAATTAGCACCTAGTGTGCTACCTACCACAGAAACATTAAAAATGACAATACTTTTTTGTCTTCAAAATAATGTAAGAGGTACAAGCAATGTACATGATACTATGGAGACCTGGAATTTGCTAGAGACACAGAATGGAGAAGCAGGTGCTACAATGCTTCTGGCACATCACAAAGTACACCACCCTAAAAAAGCTCACAGCCTTGCCCTACAAAGCATTGAGTTCAGTGACGGAAAACCACAGAAATTTTACTTATATGTTTAAACAGTTAGCACAACAGTTGACTGCATGCTGGGAGACTGAAAACATGAGTCCAGAACTGTTTCAGACAGTATAGCCTAAAGCATTTGCATTTTTTGAGTATGCTGGACTATGTGCAATGCTGCTTAAGAAAGGCAAACATACTTCTCTCGCATGGACTCAGACTGCATCTCAGAGGGCTGGGAGAGGACTTGCCGCTGCTATGACTTGATCACCCTAAGCAAGGGAAATAAAGTCACCCTCACATCACTGGTTGACAGGCCTCTGAACGTAAGAAGTTGGAAGTATTATTTTTCTGCCTTTAAAAACAAAAGGCAGAAAGAAAGCTTAGGTGTCTTATTTAAATATCTACAAATAAACTTCCAGTTCCTCTCTGCCAAAAATCCTCACCCACTGGTAAGTTAAAGAACCAAGCCAATAAACAAGAACCAAAATTACACTATAAATACTACTGCTGCTTGAACAGGAATATTCA